GCAAAATATGTAAGTCTTCTCTGCCAGGTATAGCCTCTCCGCAGTTAGACCTATGTGGCCCAGATATGGGATCCTCCTCGAGGTAGCAGATGGAAATTGGGTACCTTGCGGCCCCAAGCAGAACCACAGGGTCTTGGAGGAGACTAGGCCCCTAAATGCACGGCATGCATGGCCCACCGGCGTGTGGATATGCCCTGATGCCTGCAATCCTAGTCCCCAGCTATGGGTCAAATAACATCACTGCCTTGTGAGAAGGCTTGGGAAAGTCAAAGGCTATGGAAGATAATCCAGACAGAAAATCCGTGTAGATGAGCACGAAAGCAAGGGAACGCAATCATCTAAGGGAAGGACAACCCTGAAAGAAAAACCACTGGCCCTCCGAGTCCAGGGGGTTATGCTTAGGGCCAGCAACCCTAACATGTCAAACAATGCAGCTACAGAAACCTTAACCAGAGAACAAAATGATGGAAGAAGGATTGAAACCACTCAGGATACTGATAGTATGACGGGTGAATCCCCCACCCTGATAGGAGATGTCCTTCGACCAAAAATAACACGTAGAGTGGGCTGCTGGAACGTGCGGACCCTCTACTAAACAGGAAAACTAGCACAAGTGGTGAGAGAAATGGAGCATTACAAGATCGAGCTTCTTGGAGTAAGTGAAACTAGATGGACAGGCAAGGGATCAAAACAACTAGTGTCAGGACATCAAATACTCTACTCTGGAAGAACTGATGAACATCATAGCAGAGGAGTAGCAATAATCACAACAAAAGAAGTTTATAGAAGTCTGTTAGAATGGAAGCCAGTGAATGAACGAATCATAACAGCAAGATTCAACTCAGCCTTTGCCAAACTTACAGTAGTGGTATGCTATGCACCAACAGATTACTGATGCAGAAGACGACGAAAAAGTCTCCTTTTACGACAGCTTACAAGAAATAGTAGACAATACACCATCTCACGATGTCCTACTTATCTTGGAAGACTTAAATGCAAAAGTTGGGAAAAGCAATCAAGGAAGAGAAAGCATCATGGGTAAGCAAGGCTTAGGAGAATGTAACAGCAATGGAGAGAGACTGTGCACTTTCTGCCAAGAAAACAACTTGATAATTGGTGGAACTATATTTATGCACAAAGATATCCATAAGACAACATGGAACTCCCCAGATGGACATACGAAAAACCAAATTGATCATGTCATCATCAACAAAAGATGGAGAAGTAGCCTCCTGGATGTGGTTGCAAAGCAAGGAGCAGACGTGGGAAGTGACCACTCATTAGTACTGGCTAAAGTCAAGCTGAAGCTAAGGAAATCAAGGAAGAAAGATCAAAGACCGCCTCCTATTAACATCCAAAAGCTTAAAGATCCAAAAGTTATGAAATCTTTTCAATTGAAAATGCAGAACAAGTTTGAGGCTCTTATGGAACACCCAGATGAAATTGATATAGAAACATTTAATGAGATACTCTTAGAAAATGCGCAACAAATACTTGGCCCAAGAAAGAGGAAAAAAGAGGAATGGATATCAGAGAACACATGGAAAATAGTAGAACAACGAAAAGAAAAGAAAAAGAAAATCCTGTCCACTAAATCAAAGAGACAAAAAGACCAGCTCCAAGCAGAATATCGAACTATAGACAAAGAAGTTAAGAAAAATGCAAGAGCAGACAGAAAGGCATACACTGAAAAACTAGCTAATGAAGCAGAACAAGCAGCTTTGAAACAAGATATGCAAACCCTCTATCGTATCACCAAAGCACTAGCAGGTAAATTTCAGACAGCAGATTTACCAGTAAAAGATAAAAGAGGGAATGTCTTATCCAAAGAAGAAGATATACAGAAACGATGGAAAGAACATTTTGAGGAAGTGTTCAATATAAATGATACAGGAAATGAGGTCCTGATAACACCAGCCATTAACATACTGGACATTAATACAGATCCACCCAGTATAGAAGAGGTAAAAAAGGCAATAAAGAGATTAAAAAATGGAAAGCCTGCTGACATTGACCAGATAAATGCAGAGCTCCTCAAGGCCGAAGAGTACTGGACACCTACCATCTTGACAAATATTCTACAGAACATCTGGGAATCAGAAGAGACACCAACCTTCTGGAGAACAGGCCTTATTGTAAAACTTCCAAAAAAAGGAGACCTTTCCAACTGCAACAACTATAGAGGGATAATGCTGCTCTCAGTATCGATGAAAGTGCTAAGCAGAGTGATATTGAACAGAATCACAGACATAGCAGACCCTCTACTGCGGAAAGAACAGACAGGATTTAGAAAGGGGAGATCATGTGCTGACCAGATATTCACTCTAAGACAAATACTAGAGCAGAGCAAAGAATGGAACTCTCCGCTTTCCATCAACTTCATCGACTTTACAAAAGCTTTTGACAGTGTTAATCGCCTAGCCTTAGAAAAAAATTCTCAGTCATTATGGGATCCCAGATAAAATTATCTCCATCATTAAGATGTTGTATACAGACCTAAATGCCAGAGTTATCTGTGGATCAAGCTTATCAGAGGAGTTCGAATTACAGACTGGAGTAAAACAAGGATGTCTGCTCTCCCCTCTTCTCTTTACATTCTGCATTGACTGGATTATGCGAGAAACCATCAAGAATAAGCGGACGGGAATTACTTGGGCCATGACAGAGATGTTAGAAGACCTGGATTTTGCAGACGACATAGCACTGCTATCACACCGCCATCGTGACATGCAAGAAAAACAAAACAACTAGCAGAAACAGCAAGGAAGATTGGCCTTAATATCAACAACACCAAGACCAAGATCATGAAGGTCAATACTAAATCAGAGGAGCCCATCACCTTAAATAACGAAGAAATAGAAGAAGTCTCAGAATTTGTCTATCTAGGAAGCAAAATTAAAATTATTTTAGATCACCACAGATGGGAACTCAGAGGTAGATGTACTAGCTCGAATTTCAAAAGCCACAGGAGCGTATGTTGCACTAAGAAACATCTGGAGGTCAGCAAAGATCAGCACAAACACCAAAATAAGGATCTTCAAGAGCAACGTGCTTGGGGTCCTCCTATATGGTGCTGAAGCATGGAAAGTTACTAAAACCATCTCAAACAAGCTAGATACCTTCCAGACACGCTGCCTTCGCAGAATACTGCGCATCTTCTGGCCAAATACCATCTCAAATGAGGAGCTATACAAAAAGACCAACACCACCCCTCTATCTCAAGTTATAAAGAGAAGAAAATGGCTGTGGATAGGGCATGTATGTAGAATGCACCCAACTTCCATCCCAAGGGTTGCTTTGAAATGGACACCACCTGGCAAGAGAAAGAGAGGAAGACCAAAAGAAACATGGAGAAGATCTGTAGAGAAAGAGATGGGAAAGAACCGCTGGACATGGGGACAGATACAGAAATGGACACAGGACAGGCCAGCATGGAAGTCTCTGGTGACGGCCTTATGTGCTATCCAGCACGAAGAGGATTAAGTAAGTAAGTAAGTATATAATTCCATACAAAATTTTGCACAATTTTTTAACTTTATGACAAAATCTTATAAAATTTTCCCACTCTACTTGGTAAACATTATTCAGGTTGTCAATTTAAATGTAAATCTATGAGAAATAATACTGATTTCTGAAAAAAGTTTGTTTGTGTTATTTATCCTTAATCACCGCACTTTATAAAAAGGTTGAACTTGGGAGTTAATCAACACACTTTGAATTTTTTTTTCAAAGTGCGTCAAGAGTGTACAGCATACTATTTTACCATGTACACACTTAACGCACTTTAAAAAATTGTGACCGTGTAAAACAAAAACTTTGGACTTAAATTTTGGTAATTGACAACATTTTTATCCCCTTGCAACGTTTGAGGTGATATATTAAGTCGATTATGTGTGTTATTGTGTAGATTTATGTAGGCCTAATGTGCTTTTTGGGAAGGAATGCTCTGCTTTGCGGTGTGCTTACCCAGCTCAGTCGAATGAGTATTGAGGCTAATGTTTTATTTCATTACTTTCAAATTAACCCGTCTATCATTTGTTCATATTTAATATGATAGAGAGAGAGAGAACGGGGAACGAAATTATGCTATAAAACAATCATTTCTAGGAGACCCCTTTCCCTTTTATAAAATATACGAGAATGTTGGGAAGAAAACAAGCCCTAAAAATCTTTAAAACGCCTTTATCTCAGATCCTGAAGTGACATCATAGCTGAAAAATTACTAAACCAGATTCAAATAATCATTTGTCATACTTAAAATTCTGCAAGAATATTGACCAAGCCATGCACATTTTTTGTCAAAGCGCGTTAATATGGTCGATATGAACGCAGTTGATAAAAAAAAAAATGAAATTTGTCAGTGTGTTAATGTGGTCCAAAAATTGAATCACTTTAAAAGTGAGAGTTTTTAACACAGTATTATGACAGTGTATTCATAGAGGAAGGTCATTTTTTGGTAACTTACTGAAGAATAGCTGTGAATTCCCTACTTTTTGGCATTTCTGTTACAGAGGGCAATACTTTCAATGCAAATACACAGGGTGTTAGTCAAATAAAAGTCACTGCAATATATTGGAATGAAAAATCAAGTTAGATGTTATACATTTGAAGATCTTTGCTACAGGACAAATGCTGAATTAAACATTGCTGTGAGGCTACTTCCTCATACAATCAAAACCATAAACATCACCATCAATATCATCCCATTTTCACCATTACGCAATTTATACTTAGGTTTTGGAAAGAACATCCAAAATATCAAAACCATTTAGACAATATTAACTTAAATAACTGATCAGAATCATGTTGCATTGATTAATTATATTTAAAATCTAGTATCTCCACTGATATTTGGAATACGATGTGTGCATTTAAGTCCCCATGCACCAATTTTATCTGTTCATTTATCCATCAATATAAACCCTTCCATATGACGATTTTTTGGGAAAAAAATATTTATTATATGTATACACTGGCAAAAAAATGATAAAACTAAGACATTTCTTCTGCAAATCTTTACTGACAAATTCAAAAATGTGGAAACAAAAGCACTATACTCAGTGATAGATAACTGTCTGTGTTTTAAGGCCTAAACATATATCGCCTGGGCTTAACAAATATCGCCCCACAGATCTTAGTATGATATCGCCTGGGCTTAACAAATATCGCCCCACAGACCTCAATATGATAAACTGTACCTACACAACTTTACAGCATTTCACAGTTACAAACTTTATATCTCGTTACTGTTTACTCAATCTGGGTCCACCAGCTTAAACTAGTTCCCTTATCACAGCCATTTCATTACAAATTACATGACTAATTAAACAGACTGGTTAGATACAATCCATACATGCAAAGGATCAAAACATATCTGCGTGGTTAAAAAAGTCAACCATATTCTAATTAATAAATGTTTTGCATGAGAAGAAATGAAATAGTACTTAAATTTAATAGTACTCACATGAATGTACATATATGAAATCAAAACAAGCACTAACCTGAACATAGTTTATAGTATTAGAAATATTTTGCTCAGTGATAGATGAAAATCATGATTGTTATGTATTACAACAATTGATAGATGACTTAATTTGGGAAAAATAATCAATACATGATCAAACTGTTATAAACAACAGAGGAAATGTGGATCATCATATGATTCTAAATCTTACATAAAACATTAAATAAATAAATGAAGCTAACTAGTAGGTTCCTAAACTCTCCCATTTCAAATAATAATCAAACCATCTGCATGCTTGTACTCATGTGATACAGGAACTCCGTTTTTTTTAATCGGGAAACAAATTTGGTCCTTATGCAGCACTCTAAAAAATTTCAAACATCTTAAAGTTTTGTAAAACTTAAATCAAGATTTACAGGCAGTAATCTTTGAAAGAAGTTTGAAAGTTATATTCACTCTCATAATAATAAAACAAATATTGTATTCTTCTTAGCTCAAAATTTCAAAAAAAGAAACATATTCATGTGTACTTTCCTTCTATTTGAATGTCTATAGATCAAACATTTCAAACACATATTCACAAAAAACATTGCTTCAGATTAGACTTGGTTAAATGCACCAGCATGATTGTTCACACAGATTGATACTTATTTAATTTGGTACCACAAATTTTGTTATTAATCACAGTTGAATTTACAAAGTCATCAGAGCGTGACATTATGCGGCCCGTTCTGGTTCAGTAAACAGCTTGACCTTATCCTCAATGACCGCTATGAGTTTTTTGTTGAGAAGACGGTCGAAATGTTCTAAGATTGAGGCGTGATGCTGTTTTGGGTGTACCAGAGATTCTGTAGGAACCACAGCTAGGATCCCAGCAAATTCATGAACAAACTGACACCTATAATAATTAACAATAATAACTCATGAATAAACTGACATCTGTTACGATAAACAATAGAGATATACTTCTGTAAATAAATTAGCAGTACCACAATAAAAGAAAGTAGTGATGATCCAAAATAGGGAATAACAATCTTAGCACCAACATTTATACTGTTTTCATTTGTTTAAAACATCAACTAGTTCTGTTCAAGTTTGATTCTGTCCTTGTAAAAAAAAACTAAAAAACTGACAGCTAGACAGACTGACCATAGAGTTTCCAGCTGGTTGTCGATGTCCAGAGGTGATGTGTTGGCGTGGAGAACCTCCCCCCTGTGTAACAGACTACAAACCAGAGAGCTCCCAAACTGTAAAACACACACATATAACAAGGTTAGTTAATTAATAAAACATGTAAAATACTGAATTATTCATAAAAAAGTAAATGTCATGATGAGACTGTAATACAAAGTCCTCATAAACAATTTTACTGTAGAGCCTTTATTAATAAATCTACTAAATGTTGTAACAGATAATTTTGTAATATTCATGAGGATTTCTGTAAAACTGTCATTTTTCTCAAATGCAATAAACAGCAGATATTTCATGAATCAACAGTGGCTGCCTTTGACTGGTTTTTTGTACATACAGCAGAACTCGGTTATAGCAAAGTCACTGGATCCTCTGAAATTACTTCCCTATATCCGTAATTCATTATAAACCTCTAAGAAATTCAGTAAATTTGAATAGCTGGGGATCCAAGATGACTTAGCTATATCCATGAATTCGCAATATCAATGTTCATACTAAACGAGTTTTACTGTACCTTGTTTTGTATAGCTACTGCAGCTGTCTTGGACTGGTTTTGTCCCGACTCTTTAAGCTCCGTGGCAAAGTTGACGAGGTTTTGGAGATCACAGTTGTCAATCACTCGGATAACAGAATCATGCAAACACATCAGACCCTGTTTATAATTAAATTATAACTCATAATTGAAGTGAAAAATTATAAGAAATTGGCATTCATTGCTAGATAAGAGTTTTTTTTCTTTCAAAAATTCTAAATTCAAATTGATGGCTCAATTAAAAAATTCAATTCGGTTATATCTTTTTCTATAATGTATGTTTACTGACATGAAAATTAATGAAGGATTTATAAGATTTTCACCAATGATGGTACATTTGTAACAAAAATTAACAATTCAATCAGTAAGAAAACAAACCTCTTCGCCTTGGTCCTTCTTAATCAGATAGGCCATGTTTTTCAGCAGTAATTGTACCAGATTTTCTGCCTGAGTCTGAAAAGGAACCAATCAAATGCTCTGTTACACTATGTCAATAACAGACCAATAACAAATATCATTTTTTTTCTTCCTAGAGACATTAGCAAAAATTATTCCCATTGGCCAAAGCTTGAGGTTTCCACTATTTCTCTTACTTTTTCTAAGAGTGGAAGGACCCTGGCCACTAGTTTTCTCCCTTTGCGGATTGACATAATGGATAAGAAGTGTTCGTTATTCCCCGGAGACAACAGGTATTTATACAGATCTGTCAACATGTTCTTCCTGTCTTCAAATAATGGCTTCCTATAATTTATATCTCAAATTTCACATTCATGTATATAATTGTATATTTGTGCAATTTTTATTACTTGTTGACAAACAGTAATATGGAAAAATATAATATTTTTTGGTTTTAAATGCAGTATATTAAGCAGTATTTTAACATGAGACACTTTGTTTAATTAAGTATTAAGGTAAAATAATGAATCTAGACTTCTAATTTACCTTGCTTCATCTGGTAAAGCTAATATTTTCTTTTCTATGTCATCCACGTCCAACAGTAAATTATAGCCCTGACAAAAATAAAAGTATAAGTCAAATTTTACGAAAGCTAGATATTTATGATTGTAGACAATCACAATAATTTTTAATGCATCTTTTTTACTTCCTAAACCCAGTAATTGGAATGCATACTAAAAATTAAGTTTGACTTTATCAAAAAATTAAGAGTTGAATAATTTTCTTTCAAACACAAATAACTACCCCCTCCACATGATCATAACATACATTTTCTATTTCCATCAGTAACTGTCGACTTCGTCTAAGTTCTTTGGAGACGTTTTTTGGTTCGCCGTCCTCGGTGTGGTGTTTGCCTTCACTTCTTACGTCAATGATCTGCCTTGGATTGTGAACACTGGAGGTGGTAAGTCTACCCAAGGACCCCTCAAACTGAGCTGTAAATGATAACATGTAAATACAGTAAACACTGGAGGTGGTAAGTCTACCAACGACCCCTCAAACTGAGCTGTAAATGATAACATGTAAATACAGTAAACACTGGAGGTGGTAAGTCTACCAACGACCCCTCAAACTGAGCTGTAAATGATAACATGTAAATACAGTAAACACTGGAGGTGGTAAGTCTACCCAACGACCCCTCAAACTGAGCTGTAAATGATAACATGTAAATACAGTAAACACTGGAGGTGGTAAGTCTACCAACGACCCCTCAAACTGAGCTGTAAATGATAACATGTAAATACAGTAAACACTGGAGGTGGTAAGTCTACCCAACGACCCCTCAAACTGAGCTGTAAATGATAACATGTAAATACAGTAAACACTGGAGGTGGTAAGTCTACCCAACGACCCCTCAAACTGAGCTGTAAATGATAACATGTAAATACAGTAAACACTGGAGGTGGTAAGTCTACCCAACGACCCCTCAAACTGAGCTGTAAATGATAACATGTAAATACAGTAAACACTGGAGGTGGTAAGTCTACCCAACGACCCCTCAAACTGAGCTGTAAATGATAACATGTAAATACAGTAAACACTGGAGGTGGTAAGTCTACCCAACGACCCCTCAAACTGAGCTGTAAATGATAACATGTAAATACAGTAAACACTGGAGGTGGTAAGTCTACCCAACGACCCCTCAAACTGAGCTGTAAATGATAACATGTAAATACAGTAAACACTGGAGGTGGTAAGTCTACCAACGACCCCTCAAACTGAGCTGTAAATGATAACATGTAAATACAGTAAACACTGGAGGTGGTAAGTCTACCCAACGACCCCTCAAACTGAGCTGTAAATGATAACATGTAAATACAGTAAACACTGGAGGTGGTAAGTCTACCCAACGACCCCTCAAACTGAGCTGTAAATGATAACATGTAAATACAGTAAACACTGGAGGTGGTAAGTCTACCCAACGAACCCTCAAACTGAGCTGTAAATGATAACATGTAAATACAGTATTACTGTATAACAATTAGTGTAACACGGACAAAGCGAATTCACAGATATAGCTAAGTTTTTTTGGGGTCCTGGCCAAATTGTTATCAATTCTTTGTAAAAATTGACGGAAAAAGCGAACTCTGGTAAAATTTTTTACAGATATCGCAAACTGATTTTGAGTCCTGTAGAGGATAGATATAATAAAATATAATAAAGGATGAGGTGACTTGCGGCCCCTCGTATACTGACAAAAAATTAAATGTCTAAATTTTACTCAAATTTTTGTATGTAACTAATCACTGATATGTGTACCTTTATAGAATACTATTTTAAACAAAAATAGAAACGTGATTTGAAAGATATAGGTCTTTTATTGGGGTAGGGTTAGCATGTTTACATTCAATTCCCATAGTATTTTAACCCCGCCCCACTCTTTGAAGCCCTTAAAATATACGAGCGCAGGTAGGTACAATTTTCTCCTTTGACTGGTCACTGTATTTTATTGAAATCTACCTATATGTGGAAGGAGAATATTGTACCTAACTGCGCTCACATGCTATTTTTTAAAAAATCGTAAAATCTAGTTGGACTTTCCCATTATAAACAGATCGACGGAACTAGATTATTTGACGTAAGAATGAATTCATATGCTAATCGAGGCACAGGCGATACTTTCTAACTGACCAATCAGCTAAATGAAATTCGTTACGAGTGAGTACCACAAAAATACTATGGAAACATGCTTGAAATTTTACTGCTTTCCGATATCTTTTTATGCATTTGAGTCACAGATTAGACACTGATCTACATACATGTATACAATTTACAAGATCACGTTATAATTTATATACAGTTACAAACAATTCATAAAATATACATGATATACATTAGTTTAAAGTTTTGTAGCGTGTTTGCGTGATTCGCTAGGTCTACACGTATATTTTCCCGAGTATCGGTGAATACAAGTTTCATGTACATTTCTTGTCCTAAAAACCGTAAATGCTGAAAATCCATGCATATTATTAAGTATAAACAGCATTGGCTGACCATTATAAAAGTTTGAAATGTATACGTAGAGAAGGATAACAGATAATTTAACCTAAATCACGTGTGTGCGATAAAATATTATCGTATCATCTTTTGTTGTTCTGTCATCGATTTGGACAATGACTAAGCGCGAAATAATAACAATAGCCATATAAGGTCTTCTCGGACACGCATATTCCTCTATTGTACTAAGACCCGCCCATTCTCTTGCCATTAAAGGAAATATTCGCACAAGCCTTGCCGAAATTAGCTGTGGTAGGGTCTAAAAAATCATAGATAATGCAGTATTCCTTGTAATTAAAATGTGCCTGAACTAATGAAACTATTCAAAAGGCGTCGTATTTATTCACTCATGTTTGAAAACTACGAACATCGTTGTAGATTAAATATGATTCGTCGTGGAAAAAGGGGCCCCAGATAGCAGTTATGTCACATCATCCTTTAAAAAAAAAATTATAAGGAATTTTCAAACATCTCAAAATTTGATATATTGAACTGACTTTATTTTCAGTAATTATTTAAACAAATTCAATTCATTTAAAAACCTTAGTTATCCAATATGTTATGAAATGATTGCTTCCCTTACATATTCGGAAGTAAATCTTTCAGGAAAATGTGCATATTGCCAACTCGCCATATATATTTCTACAAAATCTTACAAATACAACGAATCACGAATATTGGGAATTAAAATCACAGGTCCCCAGGACTTTGCTTTAATCAAGTTTAAGGATAAATTACTTTGCAATCAACTTAAATATTGTTTGCACCCCTCCAGCCAAAGGTAAGAAAATGCAAAAAATTCTATCTCTTAAAGGCAAAGGTTTTAAGTACCGCCTTCAAAAATACCTGGTCTGGGTAGCCTTGTCAATTAAGTGCATGAAGGTTAATCATTGGATGCTGGAACTTGATTGACATTTACTTACTTTACTCTGTGTATACCCTGTACACCTTGTTTGGGACTCTTGGTGACCTTATGATTAATCTCTGATCCTTTGATGTTTACTGAACATTGTTTACAGAAACTGTATTACTATGTACATTTTAGACTGATAATATATGAATTAATTTATATATTAAACATACCTTTAGTATTTGAAAGGATTATAATACACTATACATTTTAATCAGATAAGAATTTACAAGCAGTCTTTTTAGCATGTTTCACGTTGAAGAAGCTTAATCAATTAAGGTTCTAGGATAAATCTAGATATTTTTTTTAGTAAAATATAGTTAACACAACTTTTTTTATTTAATTAATAGAGAGAATCCTGTGGATGAATAAATTTCAAAAGGAGTTTTTTTTTAATTAAATACACTCAAATGTAATTAATCATTGTTTTAATATTTGAATTTATTGTATTATTATCATATTTTTTAAAATGGTCAGGGATGTTTTCAAAAAGTCAAAATTAAAACCATTGTAATAGAAAAACCCTTAATTTTACTACTAAATTTAAAATTGTCTTAAAATCCCCAACACCGGTAAAGTTTGACACCTGGGGTATTTCACTGTGTATTAAATCACTTCCTGTGTATAGGGATAAGGAGACAGGTGGCCACAGGTAGACTGCTAGCCCCCAACGAATTCACACCTGTACAGAATAAGCCCCTCCCTCAACTGGAATTTACCAACCGGTAAAAAATCTCTGCCTTTAAGGTTAAAAAGTTATGGTGAAGGTTCCAACTACTTTTAGCATATAGGTCACTGTCGAGGTAAAAAATTCATTGACCTTGTTGCCATGTGAAAGAACTTAATTAGTTGAGAGTGCATATTAAATATGATGTCTCCATCTCCTATGGTTCAAAAGTTATGGCGAAGCTTTGAAAAAGCTATTTTAGGAATATAGGTCACACTCAAGGTGACTAACAATGATGTCATTTGAAAGAGCTTATTTAATTAGTGGAGTAACCATATAATATTAGTCTTTGTCTCTTGTGGTTCAAGAGTTTTTGCAAAGATATAAGTTGACACGAATAGTAAAACAGTCAGACAGGACAAAAACAATATGCACCCTGATCTATTGATCCTGGTGCATAAAAATCATTAAATGCACACCATGCCCATGCAGAAGTTATCAAATAGGAAATAAAAGCTTAATTTGAATGTTTTCCTAAACAAGCAAGGTTCTGAATAAATAAATCCAGTTGAGATCCAGAGAGTCTGCCTGATGTTTCAGTGTACCTGGTCTGTATGGCTTTGTCTCTAGTTTGGCCATGGCGGGGATGATGAGGTTTAGTTCCTGATCTTTGTCATCCATCACTCCATTCTGTTGTCTCTTAAGCCGCTCCTCCGCTTTCTTCTTCAGAGAGTAAGTCTACAACAAAAAAGGGTGCCATTAAGTCAGATACTTGATTATACTATAAATTACTGATAATCACTTCACATTAAAGCTTGAGTAAACCAAATATATTAATCACAACTTATGAAAAAAAAAAAAAAGTTTTGTGTGTGGTATGATAAATAGGATGTAAGATCAAAGAGACAGACATGTCAAAATCATGGAATGAGAATAAAAGTCAAAATTCATAGAGTTATACAGAGATGTCAGTGTAGAAAAATTTGTACTGTAATTCATACATTAGTATATTAAGATAATTTTCACTGTAATGGTATAGATATTTGAAACTGTAAGTAATTTAATATTATATTAACCGTGTAGTAGAAGTCATCCAGATATGGATTTTCTGTTTGGAGTTGGATCAGCTGGATTTTGATAATCCAGTCTTTTTCTTTTTGAGTCATCAATCCAGCGTATGCATCCACTGATCTCTTCCTGTCTTCCTCTGGATTGTAGTGGTAGTACCTGCGGCGATCGTGTTCCCGCCGGTTGTCGTGGTAACGGTGTTCACGGTTGTCAGGGTGATGACCTTGATCATACCGGCTGGGGTCATGACCTTCTGAATAACCCTCCCTGTGGTCAGTATTGCTGTAGTTTCCACGGTTACTACAAAAAATGTGAAAAATTACAATGATCCATTTAAAAAAAAAATTTTTTTAAATATTGCAACCTTTTTTATACATTAACACTGTAGTCTGTACTTACTGTCCCCTGAAGAATCCCCTGCCTCGACCTCTTCTGGGATCTGAATGACCCAGTGGGTGTGGTGGTCTACAAATCATCAATATTCATGAAGTTACAAGTCATTTATAATTATATACAATGGACCCTCAGATATCCGGATGTTTCAGTATCCGGACGACTTTTTGTCGGGACGAAATTTCAAAATTTTATAGTCTTGTTTAACAATCTTGTGATTCAGGTATCTAGACACTTCACATATCCAGACAAATTGACTAGGAACCAAAGCGTTTGGATTAATGAGACTCCACTGTATATTCTGTGTGCTTTGATATAGGTTTGTTAAATGTTCATGATGTGTTCTGTGTTTATTTATGACACTATATGGTTGTCTTTAAAATATGAATATTTTCTTAGAAATATGTAACATCAAGTAATTCTTTTAAATACAATCTGTGTATTTTTACATAGGCATAATTAGCAACAGTGCTCCAAGTCACACTTGCTCTTAGGTCGCAAAATGGTGACCTAAAAATTTTTTTGTCGCCATTTCAGAATTTCTGGTCACCATAATCAAATATTTCACTGGCCATAAATAAAAATACATTTTGTGAATAAAATTTGATAATTTAAATAAGGATTATGTCTTATTATGTCTTTATTAAATCCAAGATTACTTAATTACTTTGACTATAAACAATTTGCTAGGTTGAAAGAAATATTTTTATTGAATACATGTTCCCTTAACTGGTTGTACAGTTCACAGAAGAATATACAAGTAATCTGATCACATAAATAAAATTTGTTTAAATGAAAATACAAGATTGACAGCTGTTGAGACAGGACTTTGCCTGCTGTTTGTCATGTTTACTTACTACTACGTACCCATCCCATTCCACAGTAATTATAAATGCCACCAAAACACTATTCATTAGCATGATTCATTGTGATATGCAAGCAATTGACAAAATGCCTCAATAACACGGTCGGATACTAGAAAGCTTATGGAGTTTAGATGCCATTCTATCAGGAACATTACTTATACACGTCTCTGGTTCTATCAAACTTTGTACAGCATGCTGCCATAACATCACGTGATCCAAGTCCATGCGACGCTTCGTAAAGTTTATTTAAGTACCCTGGTATATGTTTCAAACATTTTCTTGATAGAGAATCTTTACAAATGAAATCTCGATCCTGATCTTAAAAATGGACGTTTCCAGCCCAAATTTTCTCAGTTGCAAAAATGCAAGCATGTTTTTATTTCTAGTTGCAAAATCAATTTTTTAGTCGCAAATGAGACCATTTTAGTCACAACTTGGAGCACTGAGCAAGATGTTAAATAATTGTTACAGTGGAACCTCATTCATCCGGACACTTTGGTTCCTTGTCAATTATGGCCAGACAAGTTAACCAAGACAAAATAACTTTTAAAAATTCTGTTCCATTGAAAAATCGTCCGGATACTGAAGCATCCAGATATATGAAGGTCCACTGTAGATAGCACTTAGACAAGAAAAGGTGATGTACAAAGAACAATTAATAGATTTCTTAAACTTCCCCTAAAACATACAAGTCTTCTAGTAAATTTATTCAAAGAATCATACAAAAATTTAAGCTTACCTTGGACCCCCTGGGCTGTTGTGAGGGGGAGGGTAGGATCCTGTGTGGGGCGGGCCGTACGGACTGCCAGGGTGGGGACCAAAGTGACCGCCGTGTGGACTTTGTCGTGGACCGGGGCTGTTGTATGGGCTCTGTGGTGGTGGGCCCCTCAGTAGCTGGCGGGGGATACCAATGGGGGCACTAGGCATACGACTCCCTATATAACAACAAATGAGTGTTGATACTATGAATGGATTATAGAGAAGATACAACTAGATTAAACATATGTGATAAAAAATGAATTGACTTGAATGATTCACAATATATTTTACCTTTACAGATATTTTCTTATCTCATCTTATATTTTTAATATGATCAAAATTTTCAGAATACCAGTAAAACCATTTTTTTTAAATAATGAAAACATTTTTTTTCTTTTCTTTTTGGTGAGAAAATTGTATTAATCTTTGAAAGTCAGTAAAGTAAGGGGCATGTTAAACCATGTTGCAACAGATTAAGTTTGAAATTAAAATGGATTTCAACATGCTTTGCAAGATAACCAGCTTAGTAAATTAAAATAGCATTTTTGAAGCAAACTTTTTTTAAAGTCAAATACATGCAAAGTTGAAACATAGGTAATCAGAGATTACAGAGCTCACCTCAACGAATGTTGTCTTTAAGTAAGGCAAAGTCACACAATTAACCAACAAAAAGTGTACATTCCAAAATTGAAAATTTTCAAGCAAATTTGATCTGATACTTTTAAATAGACCTACATAAAAAATTTAAACTAGTTCTTCTTCATGAAAATGTAATCAAAATCCAGCATCTGAAGCAAATTTGAGAATTTTCATCTCTTGATGAAAACTAACCTGTTCACTCAACCGGAAAAAGTAGGTAAGATTCAGCATCCGAAGCAAGCCCGGTAGTGTGCATCCTTAGATGTATCATACATGCAAGTTTGGTCAACATAGGGCACATAGTTACTTGGAAATGAAACTTGCACCAAAAACTTTAACCTGTTCACTCAACCGGAAAATGTAGGTCAGATTCAGCATCTGAAGCAAACCCGGTAGTATCCATCCTTAGATGTATCATCCATTCAAGTTTGGTCAACATAGGGCTTATAGTTACTTGGAAATGAAACCTGCATTAAAAACTTTAACCTGTTCACTCAACCGGAAAATGTAGGTCAGATTCAGCATCTGAAGCAAACCCGGTAGTATCCATCCTTAGATGTATCATCCATTCAAGTTTGGTCAACATAGGGCTTATAGTTACTTGGAAATGAAACCTGCATTAAAAACTTTAACCTGTTCACTCAACCGGAAAATGTAGGTCAGATTAAGCATCCGAAGCAAAACCCGGTTGTATCCATCCTTAGATGTATCATCCATGCAAGTTTGGTCAACATAGGGCTTATAGTTACTTGGAAATGAAACATGCATCAAAAACTTTAACCTGTTCACTCAACCGGAAAATGTAGGTCAGATTCAGCATCCGAAGCAAGCCCGGTAGTATCCATCCTTAGATGTATCATCCATGCAAGTTTGGTCAACATAGGGATTAAAGTTACTTGGAAATGAAACCTACACCAAAAACTGCACCAAAAATGTTAACCTGCTACAAAAACATTAACCTGGTCATTCCTTTGCTGAAATTGCAGCATCTGAAACTTTGGCTGGTTCAATGAAACACACTAGAACCATCTTCCATGCATGTGTAATCAATATAGGACATAGAAGTACTTAAAAAGAAAACTGCTCCAAAAAACTTAACCTTAACCTGGGACGCCGACGTGGACGCCGACGCCGACACCGACGCCGACGCCGAGGGTATTACATAAGCTCCCCCAACTTCGTTGAGGTGAGCTAAAAATCAAAGTAGAAGATGTGGCGTTGAAGTAAAAGACAACGAACCCAATAAAACCTTGAAGAATAGGAATTATGGGAATATTCCAAACCAAGCAATCCACAATTTTGAATCCATAACAACTGTTTTCATTTTGTGTAAATGTTGGTATCATTTTTTCTCAATAGTTATCATTTGAATGTTACTTCAGAAACAGACTTAAAGGGACATGAACACAGTTTCAGCTAAATTTTTAAATTTATTTTTTCCATTTCTAAACAGTTACAAAAATTTACCAAGATATTTCTAATGATCATAAAAAAATTGAATTTCAGATGTTGAGATACAAGACAGATTTAAATCTCCATACCTTTGTTATGTAAAAAGGGTCTGTGCCATGATGAATTTTAAGTTTTAACAAATGATGTTCAAATTTTTGCTGATCATAAGAATTGCCTTTAGTTAATAGGAATTGTAAACTTTAACATTGGTTTTAAAATACCATATAAGTGGAATTTTTAGCGAGACGCAAATTTAGCGATTTCTCCTAAAATAGTGGTATTTTATTTTTAGCGAGATGTAATTTTAGCGATTTTAAAATGTTCACTAAAGAACCTATTACAAATAAAACGCAATAAATTTTTAGCGAGATGTAATTTTAGCGATCTTAGCAGCCTCGCTAATAATGCCAAAATTAAATCCTCGCTAAAATTTCTACTTATACGGTAGTCAATTGAAACCGAGTCCATGTCCCTTTCAGCTTTAGTTAAACATTACAAACATGCAAAAATCAAGGGAAAAAACATTTCATAAATCAAAATAATGTAACAGAGTTCTCCATGAGCTGTGTTACTGTGTTGCTCCCGACACAGTAAAATTTTCTTCGACAAAGTAACGATTCAAATATCATGCATTTTCTAATCATCACAAGTCTTACTGTATCGGTAAAATTTTCACTGCGACACAGTAAAAATTTTACAGACACAGTAAGAGTTGTGATAATTAGAAAATCTAAACACACGAATTCTCTCTGACTGAAACTTTAATCAAACAATTCTACCGACTTTCTCTTCAAAAAGTTATAACACTTAATTACTAGGGCTTCACCTTGAGTAATCAATCATCTCCTAGTCCCTAGCCGGACTTTACGCATGACTGTTGACAGAACAAAGACAAATAAATTTTTTCACAATTCAATGTACCGATTAATTAGTAGTTGCAATGAAATACATTGTATTATTGATGAAAAATATTTAAATATGTCTTTTCTATAGAGCCACGGCTCTAGAATTATGTTGGCTCTGTGAGTCAAACATAACATCGTACCAAAATCATTTAATTGATGTAAATAAATTTCTGAAAATTTTGAAATTCAGCATGTTCAAAACACTCTTTAAAATATTTTACTGTTCTGGGGTTCCTTTTTTGTAATGCGGTAACTCGACCAAGAAACCAGATAAATAAACAAGGCAAATTAAATCAACTTTCAAAAATGTTAAGTAGTTTGACTATCGGTCAGAATTTCCTCTGCTTTTCAGAACTTTTTTCATTTTATGAGTATGTAAAACCATTAGGATACTATTTGTGTAACGAATTAGCTACTTTTAAATAATGTGTGCTTGTAATCTCTTGTAATTATAATGAATTGTGATTCGGTTGTAAAGAACAAAAGTCAGAAAGTACAATATCCGTATCTACTCGACTTCGTCAATTCAGGGGTGGGTAGTTTTAGTCAAACCGGATGTTGGCTTCTTCATCGTAACGGCTAAAACCTATAAGGGTTTTGACTTTTCCGGAATTTTTCACCGATTTTACAGATTCACTTTAAAATTTCAAGTGGGGCGCATTCCTCTCGGAAAAAAAATTCAAGTATAAATTAATCAAACATTGGTAGCTTACGCGTATTTTTCAACAAGTTTTATTCTCCGAGAGGAATGCGCCCCATGCGTAAATTTAACATTTACGAATGTCGTTTGCTCAGCTGCGCATGCAGAAAGCAAATTTACCTTTATATAATTCGATGTTAATAAAACCTAGCACGGCAAGTATTAAATCTTTCCAAAGATAAGTTACTGTAAATTATGTAAACACAACCATAAATCCTTTTTTAGCATAAATGCATTATTTATGCATGGTAGGCTAAACAGATTCTAATATAGCCTAGTTCTTAGTCCAATTAAAAACATAAAAAAATGAAGAAACTTTTTCGCGTTAGTCTATGCTTTCCACATCTGCATGTCTATTGTGGACCACAGTTTTTAACAGAAGCCCTCAAAAGTGGCCAGGTTATAACCATAAGGTCTATTTGCTTTTTTTTCTCTCTCAACATTTGACAAGTCGTCAGTATTTTCTCGTGACGTCACAATGTACAGAAAATGACGTCAAAGTTTTTAGGGAACTTCAATATTTTTCGTACTCGTGGTGATTGTAGATCAATAACTTTAGATGTTCAAAAAATATCAATTTTTGAAAATTTTAAAGAAATACCATTATTACTATTTAAAGTTTACTTAGTACATAGGCTTCAATATGTATTCTGTGTGTTACATAATCATTACCTCGCATCGGGTAGATCGCGAGTGATTAACTTGTAAATGTCTACAGGTCAGATGTATATGTTTGCTCAATCTTTTTATGGTTATATTTTGCTCAGACATTGTTATTTTTCATTTAGTCATGTTCCAGAGAGCGCGCGAGAGAGTGAGAGAGAGGTCCACTAATATTTTAATAATTTGTAGATTATGATTTTTAAAAATTAATTTTAGTAAATGACTAAATATAGTTTCACAAAAAAAGACCGAAAGTGACATAAGAAAATAATTTTGTCCTAGAAGTCATAAAATCGTGATTTTCAAATATGTCAGCCTAAGTCTGCATGTGGCCTCCATGTGTATGCTTTAAGGTTGGGAATATCTATAAGAATCCTGTTAAAAAGGCAATATAAACTAGTGCTAATTGTAACGGGAACCGTTACAGATGTTCCCCAAACGCTCCCCAACTCCCTTCTCGTCCAATATTACCTGTAAGTTTCATTAAAAAAGGCAAAATCTATGCATTTAAGACGTAAACAACGTTTTCCCAAAAGTATACCAAGTATTTCAAATTTAAGCAATGCAGGCGTGCGCATGCTATTGCATGAGCGTAATGACGATATCATCTTTTCTACACTATTTTACTCATTTGCACGTGCACGCACGTGCATGATGACCATACCTTCTTGTGGGAGTCCATTATGTCTGTCTATGTTCTTAATCCCATCCTGTTTGGTTGAAAAACAAGGGGGTTATAGCCATTTAAAGTTTAAGCCAATCAGATTGCAGCGCACGTGCATGCGCGTATTTTCATGACAATTATTATATATCATATTGTAGGACATCTTAAAGTATGCTTATTTTTAAATTTCAAAGCATTTTGTAAAAAAAAACAGAAAAAA